CCTACAAAATGGACGGTTTGGATCATAAAAATAATGCCATAATACATCTCAAATGGAGGCACCACAGTGAAGCACAGTAGTGACCCCTTATCCGTGTGAAACCTATATAATAAAACAAAATGATTTTTGAAAATATCTCTCTAATACAATTGGTTAGAGTGAATGAGATTAACCAATCTATGTAATTGATGGTTCGATTTACTTTGATCAAAATAAAACTTTTCGCTCAAAGTAACTTCGTAGCACCTTCCTCCCATCATTCATGTGCCTCATATCTCTCCCTCATGGAGCATGGGTCATTGAGCCCATTATGGGGCATATTTTAATAATCCAAATCGTCACTTTTAAAGTATGTTGAATAGAATTGTGTGGGAGTGGATATGGAATACTTCTTCGATTCGAACGAGCCCTTGGATAATCTTCCCAACAGTGACCTGAAATAAGAATAAAATTTCGAACGGTGGTTCCGAAATTAACACTCTAACGGACAAGTCAGTTTTTGTAGAAGAGGTGGTGTTTTTTGGGTTTCTTGAGGTTCAAGGTTCTTTTTTACATACCTGTTTCTCCGGCCTATCTCCTTTTTTCATAGAGTTACTCTCCTCGATCTCCACTCCATGCAACTTAGTCCTTCATCTTCATCCTGTCATCCCCATCACCCTACTATACTTCCTCGAAAGGGACATTCTGGTCCCACTTGATGGTTCCATGCCGACTCGCCCAACATATTCGGCTCTTCTATTCGGCATAGGTACTCACAATTTAGCACTCCCCAACGTTTTCATACTTAATCGGACATTTATTTGGCAAAGACACAGTTCGGTGGGCTTTGGCCTTATTCAGCCCATTTTAAACGAGCTTCGGCCTTATTTGGCCCACAATTACTTGGCTCCCACAAAAATATACTTACAAAAAATTAAGTTGATCAGACATCAATTACCCTTTCATCAAAGCACATTCGTATTTAGTTTTATATTTCGAACTACATTTATCATTTATTTTTTTAGATATAAATTACCCTTTCATCAAAACACATTCGTATTTAGTTTTATATTTCGAACTACATTTATCATTTATTTTTTTAGATATAAATTACCCTTTCATCAAAACACATTCGTATTTAGTTTTATATTTCGAACTACATTTATCATTTATTTTTTTAGATATAAATTACCCTTTCATCAAAACACATTCGTATTTAGTTTTATATTTCGAACTACATTTATCATTTATTTTTTTAGATATAAATTACCCTTTCATCAAAACACATTCGTATTTAGTTTTATATTTCGAACTACATTTATCATTTATTTTTTTAGATATAAATTACCCTTTCATCAAAACACATTCGTATTTAGTTTTATATTTCGAACTACATTTATCATTTATTTTTTTAGATATAAATTACCCTTTCATCAAAACACATTCGTATTTAGTTTTATATTTCGAACTACATTTATCATTTATTTTTTTAGATATAAATTACCCTTTCATCAAAACACATTCGTATTTAGTTTTATATTTCGAACTACATTTATCATTTATTTTTTTAGATATAAATTACCCTTTCATCAAAACACATTCGTATTTAGTTTTATATTTCGAACTACATTTATCATTTATTTTTTTAGATATAAATTACCCTTTCATCAAAACACATTCGTATTTAGTTTTATATTTCGAACTACATTTATCATTTATTTTTTTAGATATAAATTACCCTTTCATCAAAACACATTCGTATTTAGTTTTATATTTCGAACTACATTTATCATTTATTTTTTTAGATATAAATTACCCTTTCATCAAAACACATTCGTATTTAGTTTTATATTTCGAACTACATTTATCATTTATTTTTTTAGATATAAATTACCCTTTCATCAAAACACATTCGTATTTAGTTTTATATTTCGAACTACATTTATCATTTATTTTTTTAGATATAAATTACCCTTTCATCAAAACACATTCGTATTTAGTTTTATATTTCGAACTACATTTATCATTTATTTTTTTAGATATAAATTACCCTTTCATCAAAACACATTCGTATTTAGTTTTATATTTCGAACTACATTTATCATTTATTTTTTTAGATATAAATTACCCTTTCATCAAAACACATTCGTATTTAGTTTTATATTTCGAACTACATTTATCATTTATTTTTTTAGATATAAATTACCCTTTCATCAAAACACATTCGTATTTAGTTTTATATTTCGAACTACATTTATCATTTATTTTTTTAGATATAAATTACCCTTTCATCAAAACACATTCGTATTTAGTTTTATATTTCGAACTACATTTATCATTTATTTTTTTAGATATAAATTACCCTTTCATCAAAACACATTCGTATTTAGTTTTATATTTCGAACTACATTTATCATTTATTTTTTTAGATATAAATTACCCTTTCATCAAAACACATTCGTATTTAGTTTTATATTTCTGTGATAGAGACATTTTCAAAAATCATATTGTATTTTATTATATCGACTAGAATAGTTTGAGTGTTGTTGCCTTGTAAGTATGTCAATGTATTTTGGTATTGTGTAATGACCCATGAACACAATGTGCTATGTAAAAGTTTCATATGATATTAAGTGTTCCAATTGAAAATTTTCATTTTTCATCAAACCACCGATTAATTGGGAGGATGTCCGGCCGGTCGACTGGTTAGTGTAAATTTACTAAAAGTTTGAAGTAAGGAAGAGGTTGTTCGGGAGGACAACCGACCAGTCGTCTAGTGTATGGTCCCATTGGCTATCTATAGTAATTTGGTTCTAGACATCTTCAATTTGATGAAAAATTTTAAAAATTCTCAATTTAATATTGATTTAATGTTAACATTGGAGTATCAAAGGTGGACTTTTTTTTTAATGAAAGAAAATAATAAATGTTGAAAATACTCTTATAACATGTCCAACTGCGCATCTTTTTCTTTTCACTAAATGGATGAATAATCTCTCTCTTGACAAGCTCGATTTTCTCATCTGACTTTGTCTCTCTCTTTAACTATTTTTTTCCAATCAGACTCTAATCAAATAAAGGATATAGAGGTCACGTTGGATTGATTTCATAAGATAAATGATATGGAGAGTACACTAAGGTTGAGTGAGAAAATATTTATGTATTGGTATTAGATTAAAGATATAGGATAAAAAAATTTATTTATACAAGACCGAATTTATAATATTATAGATAGTATTAATATATAAAATAAGATTTTAAATTTTTAGTTATAATATTATAATAATTATTTTTTTTTTGTTCTAAAAAATATAAATTTTGTTTAACAATTCACTAATTCCTTCACTTAATTTTTAATTCTAACCCGGTCATGGGAATAATAGTCCTACCAATAAGAGAATTATTAATCCAAACAAATAATTAATCCCCTCATTTATGTTCCCAACTAAATACTCTATAAATAAGTCTTACATATCCAATCTCCCATCTAAAAAACCAAACAAACATGACCATAGGGATAAGGGTGTAATTTTGGCCCGGCCCAGCCCATCCGGGCTCGGGTGGGGCCCATGTCGGGCCTTGTAGGCTCCTGTCAAAAAATCGAGCCGGGCCAGTGGGCCGGGCCTCGGGCCCCTGGGCTCGGGCTTTGGGTGGGCTTGGGCTGGCCTAAACAAATTCTTTTATTTTTTTAAATTTTTTCTACCAAATTTTTTTTATTTTCCATTAAAAATAACACTAGGTCTCAGGTGGGCCGGACGGACCGGGCTTTTGGGCGGGCCTTGAGCGGGCCCATGGGTGGGTCACGGGCCGGGGCCCATGGGTCGGGCCGGGCTTCAAAACGATGGTCCAAGCCCTGGCCCAAGGCCTCAGGCTGGGCTTGGGCTCGTGCGTAAACAGGCCTTAACGGGCTTGGCCCACCTTGGGCCGCGGGCTAAAATTACACCCCCACATAGGGAGTACAATTCTACTATTAATGGCGATCTCTCTCTTGACAAATCTTTTCCAGTCCAACTCTCTCTTTGCTCGATTTTCTCATCTGACTTTGTTTCTCTCTCAAATGATTTTTTTCCAACCCGACCCTTTCCTCGATTTCCTATCCTACTCTTTCCTTTTTATTTATACTACAACAAAATGCACTTTCGGCAATTAAAATTGGTGACAAAAAAAAATTTAGTCGCTAAAAGTTGTGAAATTGACAATCAAAGTTTTTTTAGTCGACAAAAATAAAATATTTAGCTACTAATTTTTTTTAGTCGAGGTATATGGGTTATTGGCGACTAAAAAAAAATTTAGTCGCTAAAAATGCCAGAATTGGTGACAAAAAAGAATTTTAGTTGCCGTATACTGAGTGTTAGCTACTAAAACTATTTAGTCGCCGAATAGAAAATAAAAAATTATTTTTTTACCTTTTTTGATTGCCAAAAGTAAAAAATAATTTTTTATATATAGTGATTAAATTTTTTTTTTTGTCGCTGAAAATAAACTTTTGCCTAAAAGTTTATTTTTGAGTGACAAAAAAGAATTTTAGTCGCCGTATATTGCATTTTGGCTACTAAAACCATTTAGCCACTAAATGAAAAATAAAAAATTATTTTTTACCTTTAGCGACCAAAATTTTAGTCACCAAAATTTTATTTTCAACAACAAAAAAGAATTTTAGTTGTCAAAAAACTAAAATTTTTGAAGGGAGACATTTCAAATATTTTCGAGGGATTTATAAAATACTTTCAGCGACTAAAAAATTTTAGTTTCCAATAACCATCTATATAATTAATATCGCATGCTTTCACTCTTCTCTCCAAACCCTAAACAAAACCAGCGCCTCTCTTTGTGTCTCCCCGGCATCGTTCTCCCTCTCCCTCTCTTCAGATTCTTTTTTTTTAACTATGGAAAATATCATTTTCTCATTTCCTGAAAATATCAGTGATGCAAGATCACTTATTTATATAACCTATCATATAGATGTGTATATAATACCCCAACTAACTAATCTAACTGATTTACATGTGTGTTAACAACTAGTAACAAATCTCCTAACAGATTCTCTAACCACCATAGGTGTAGTTAGTAAAGCAGTTGAGGTGCATGGTAAACTTGAACTGATAGAACTCTTCTTGAACTGATTGAGCTGAGGAAGAGATAGACGACTAAACTGAGGACTGAACTGAGTAGGTGCAGGTTTTGAGCTAGGTGCAAGTTCTGAGCTGGAGCTGAGCTGAGTAGGTAATGCTGCAGAGTTATCTGCAGAGTTAGTATCCTCAACACTATCACTCTGTTCAGATTCTTCTCCCTCATCTTCTTTTCATTCAACCTCTCTCTCTCTCTCTCTCTCTCTTCCTTTGTTTCTCTTTCTCTCTATAAACCTATATTCTTGCAGATTTGGCCTCCCTCTCTCCATCAATGAACTCATCGACGACAGTGGAGGGCTTCCAGCGTCGGCCTTCTAACGTCCCTTCTGTATATCGACTGAGTAGCTTTGTTTACCCAAACACATTAGCTGCCCTAGATTCCCAAATCTCCTCCATTGACAACCAAGAAAAAGTAAGCTTTTTTTTTTAAATCTTTTTTAAAAAAAATAAATTCTCTCCACTTAACTTGCATTTCATCCCCATGATGAAAAGCTATGTGATATGAATAATAGACTTGCTAAAATGTTTTGTGAATGTTGAATAATGGACTTGTTGACACACATTAGCAGCCTCTGTGATGTTCATACATAATGAACATTTTGCATTGCAAGTGTATGATGAAATGCCTTAATGATTTATTTTTTTTATTTTTTAAAACAATGAGATACATGTGAATGGGAGCAAATGGCCAAAACACATTGTAACAAGCCCGCGGGGGGACCTCGCTACAGCTCGGACTCGACTTTTCGTAGTCACGGTTCTAAGTCTGAACCAAAGAGTCATTGCAAGTGTATGATGAAATGCCCCAATGATTTATTTTTTTATTTTTTAAAACAATGAGATCCATGTGAATGGGAGCAAATGGCCAAAACACATGTAAAAATTAAGTGATTTAGAAAACAAAGCATGTGTAATATGTTTAATTAAATTTAAATCTCATAAGCCAACCATTACCTGTGGAATATATTTTTGCAACCTGTTGAGCCAATTCTATTATTATTGGAATATCCCAACAGAGGTGTAACTCATCTAAAAGTTCTAAGGGCTATAATAATTGTGAAGTCCTCCCACTCATTTTGAGAAGTGGAGCATTGCTTTGAATTTTGGTACAATGACCGTGTTTGGTATGGCTTATTTCCAGCTTGTTTCAGCTTTTAGCTTAATTTAAACTATTTTGATGTGTTTGGTTCAGCTTAACAATACAACTTATAGCTTTTTGTAAGTCAAAAATCAACTTATTCTTTGAGTGGGAGAGGAGAAGCTTAATTTATAAGTAAAAAATCAAGTTATGTTCATAGTTATAAGCCATAAGCTGTTAGGCTATAAGTTATAATCACTTTCCTACAACTCTACCAAATGAGGCCAATAACATAAAAGGTCATAAAATAACCACACAACTTTGCCCTTTAAAATATAAAGATCATATTCTTTGGTTTTGCTCTTCTTTTTACTGTTGTAATTAGAATTAGACTGAGAGTAAACATCTTCAAGGAAGCTAAGTAGGAACACACAAATTCTACTTACGTATTAGTAGTTTAAGTGGTATTCTAAGAACCCAATTAAATATATATATATATATATATTCAGTTCTATGGTGTTTACATGAGCAGTGCTATACAAACAAAAATTATGTACATAATTTTGATCCAAATAATGTGGTAACCTTGTGTCCTATCACTTTAAAAACAAAAGTCCAGTGATCCATCAATGGAGGGGAAAATGTAGCTTTTAAAAGTAGTTGAAATATAACTCTTTTTAGTATTGGATTCATGCTGAATTTTGTTGTGGTTTCTTTATGCTATTTATTTGATTTCAGTCCTTGGATTTGTGAACGTAAATGAAAAGGAAAAGAAAATGAAGGGGAGGAAACTAAATGATTTTTTTTTTTTTTTGTGGCTTGGTTGAGTTAGGAAAATGAGAAAGAAATGAATAGCTATTAGTGAACTCATTTGATCTAGTGCTATTTATTTGATTTAGGAAAACTAAATGCTATATTTATGGCTTGGTTGAGTTATGCCATTTTTTTTGTGGCTTGGTTGAGTTAGGAAAACTAAATGCTATTTATTTGATTTGGGTCTCATTTACTTTACGAACTCATGCATCAAGCATTGTCTGCTTTCATAGATCATAGATCATTTGAGGTAGGTACAGGTTGAGGAAAGCAAGCTTTTGTATGCTCCCAGTACTCTTTCATGGGTCAATTATAAATGTTTCTAATTTATGTTGTGAGATAGAATGAGCACTTTCATCTGCTCTGTCAATAAAAATGTTTGTACCAATGTTTGATTCTCCAATAATGTACAGACGACATCATTTGAATAACAAAAAACATTTCCTTATTTGCTATGGTTTATAAAGCACATTTCTGTTTCTTTAATGCAGCACTGCTGCTTCTTTGTCTCACAATGATGCTTTTTTGTTTTTGTTTTTGTTTTTGTTTTTGATAAGTTCTTTGTGACAATGATGCTGCACTTGTTATATAGCTCCTGGGTCACCTTCATCTACATCTACATATGCAATTTTCATAATGATGATGTTGGAATGTGCATGTATCTTTGTACAATAAGATTGATGTTATAATTTGAAATGTCAATCTTATTAAATAAGCACTAATGGTAATTTTTATTTTTTTATTTACAGATTGCTTTTGTATGGGCTATTGTGGATATTTATTTTTGTGTACGAAGAGCATTTGTTCTGTATTATTTTTCTACAACCCTCTGTTTTGGAAATTCAATGTTTTTGTGTGTAATATTTAATTTAGATGGATTATACTTGGTTGGTGTGGATTTATATGATATTTGGAATATGATGTTACAAGTTAAAGTTTTTGAATAGTTGATAATAAAATGGGTATTACTGATAATGGATTTAGATGATAATTAATAGATGTATTATTCTGTATATGTATAGGTTACAGGTTGCATTGATAATGAAATGCATATAATTCAGAATTTAATGCAAAATATTCAATTTATGCATTTTAAAAAAATTAATAAATAGAGCTTTTGGCGACTAAACATTTAGTAGCCAAAAAATAAAAAGGAAACTTGTTGGCTACTAAATAGTTAGTAGCCCAAAAACAAAAAGGTTTTTGGCGACTAAAAAAGTAGTAGCTGTGAAAAGGAGCACCATGATTTTAGCGACTAAAAAAATGCTAGCCAAAAAGGAGTGTTTTTAGCGACTAAATATTTTAGTCACTAAAACAAAAAACCGCATTTATTGCATAGTAGCAAATTTAGGACTTTCGATGACTAAATATTTTTTAGTTGTCAATACCTTCCCTGACAATCTTCTCGCGACCATGCGGGTGACCGAACTATTTAGTCGGGAAAATTTTTCGGCGACTAAAATTTGACTTTTGGTGACTAAAAATTTAGTCTCCAAAAGTGCAATTTATTGTAGTGTTAGCATTTGTTTAAGATGTGAGTTGACTTTTTAATTATTTTAGCCTGAAGTTAAAAAGTTTCATTTAAGATAAATTTTTTTGGCTTTTTTTACTTTTATGAGAAAAAAATGAAATAATTATGATTTGGATGTGACATTTTATCTTATTGACTTTTTAATCTAATTTATCTTTTTATAACTATTTTAGCCCAAAAAGTTTGAGTTTGGGGTTACTGCTGCGCATGATGCGTAGCAGCAACTGTTGCACATCTTATTAGGCCCATTTCAAGGTCTAATTAGATAATTTAAACCGTTCACATCTTAGAAGTTATCGAGTAGAATATACCAGTAAAACATCACGTCAATCAGATATCGTTGGCCTTTTCATCAAATCACATTTGTATTTTTAAAAAAAAAAGAAGATAAATGTAATTTGAAATATAAAAATCAATACAAATTTGATTTGATAAAAGAGATAACAATATCTGATCGACGTTATTTTTATAGGTATATTCTACTCGATAACTTTTAAAATGTGAACGGTTTAGATTATTGAATTAGACCCTGAAATGGGCCCAATAAGGTGTGCAACAGTTGTTGCTACACACGCGCAGTAGCAACCCCAAAGACAAAAAGTTTATGCTGAACATAGCCTTTTTACTTTTTTTGATCAAAGATATTTTCTCTAACTTTCCTTTTAATTATCTTTTTCTCAATTTCTAGTTTTTTTTTTTTTTTCTTTTTTAGATAAGTTGTAGTAAGTAAGATTATATCAAAAATGTTATAATCACAAAAAACAGCTATATGAACAGCTGCCATGTTCCTCAATTTCTAGTCATTTATTGGAATATGTAATATGTATCATAAAATACATATCAAAAGTGTAGATAATACACACTATTTGAAATATGTATATCATAACATTTGAAATGTGTATATCATAACATGAAAATAAAGATCTGTGCTATAGCATGACCCTTCCCTTTGTTTTGTGTTATAGGTAGAAGGAAGAGTCTTTAACACTGGAAAAAACATGATCTCAAAGGGTGTGTTTGGTTTGCTTTTGAAATAGTGATTTTCAAAAAAAAAAATTAGGGAGAGAGTTTAGAAAATTTTTTGGTTTGTTTGGTTGTGTATTTTGAAAGTAGTTTTGGAGTTTGGGAGTTTAGGATGATTTGATATTTTGTTATAATTTAGTAGATGCGTATGCGAGAAAAAGTAATTGATTGATGTGTAAGAGAAAGAAAGTGAATTTGAAATTTTTTTGAGAAAAACCACAAACCAAACAAAATTTTGAATTTTTTTTTCAAAAATAACTCTCTCAAAAGCTGGAGAGGGAAAAAAGTAAAAAGTTTATCTTAAGTTTAAAGTTTAAATTTGAAAGATCTTGAGTGACTTGTGAGGATCATTATAAATCTTATTGGATAATCTAAATCGTTTATTTTATAAGATTCTTAATACATATTATTCATAAAAAAAAATTAAATTGATTAAATAATTATAATAATTTTATTTTATTATATTTATCTTTAAGAAATAGACGATAAATATATTTTTAAAAATAGACCATCCATTTTTTTAAAGACAAATACAATAAAATGAAATAATTATAATTATCATATCAACTTATTATTATTATTATTATTTTTATGAATGATAAACATTACAAAATAAACAGCTCAAATGATTAAAACAAGACTTGTGATAAGTCTCACGAATCTCTCAAATTTTTTGAAGTTTAAATTTATATTTAAAAAAAAATATTGAGAATTACATCTCACAAAGAGTTGCACCCTCATGTCTTATAGTTTTTGTTTTTTTCATCTTACATCGTGAATTGTTACTTTCTTAAAAAAATAAAAATAAAAATAAATGGACAACTCTTCTGCTGGGGAAAAAATATTAAAAAGTAAGGAATAAAACGGAAAAAAGGAGGAGAGTTAAAGCAACAAGGAGCATAGAGTAGGAAGGAAAAAAAATTTTACGTGTTAAATTTAAAAGGTAAATTTATAATTTAATAGATATTATAATAATTAATGGTATTTTTTATTAAATATTATTAAAATATATTACTAATTATTAATTTGAAAATTTTGTCACAAAAAATATCTATAATTATAAGTTATAGTGATAGCTTTAAAAAATGTCACAAAAAAAATTTACTAATTTTTAACTTGCAACAACAGTATACAAAATTTGTCATAGAAAAAAGTTATTAATTGTAAGTTTTAGCTACAAGTTATAAAATTGCGACAAAAAAAAAAAATTTAGTTATCAATTTTTTAGTGACATATGCAAAAACTAGTCACAAAAAATTATTTTTAGTGACGATTTTTTAAGACTTGATTGAAATTAAGTCCAACTATCATGACTTATTGGTAGTTTACTGAAAAAAAAAAAATTAGTGTATTACCTCTGTTAAAATGTATTCTATTTGTCCCAATTTGTTAGTTTGTTTTAGAGATTCTAACTTTTTAAGGGAGCATAATATTATTACACTTAAATTTAAATTTCAAAATATTTTTTTTCATAAATGCCCTTATTTTTCAAATCTTTAATATATTTATAATTACTCAAAATAGATAGTTTTGAAAAATCAAATATTTTTTACTTTGACTTTTGAAATGGGACTATCATTTTGAGACATCTCAAAATAGAATAATGGACCAACAAAATGGGAGTGGAAATAATATGTAGCTTAGGAAAAAATTGTTGTACAAATTGTGTATTTAAATAAAAATAAACAAATTCATATTTAATAATTTAAATTACAGAACAAAAAATCATGAAACTAGATTATACTAAATGTGTGTGTCAATTTCCGACTACACTGCCAATCAAAACACTCAGCTGGAGATCACTGGCAGAATAGATTAAGCCCGAACGACCTGTCACAGAAAAGAAGAGATTCCGGCGGTGGTTCGTCCATCCGGGGGCACTTCGACGATCAAGTCAGTTATCTCTCAAAGATAGCAAAAGTGCTTAACTCACTATTCAGAGCATAAAAAGCATACCTTAAACCCATGAGAGTGCCTCTCTTTTATAGCCAACACTTACCTAATCCCAATAGAAGCCTAGCTTCAATGGACTTAGAATTACTGCTAATCTTGGACTCTTAGTAGGATTGGGATAAACTCTCTAAGAGTCTTATTTTTACCTAAACTGAAGTCCTCTCCCTTTCTAGGACTCTTGTCCCTTATCCGCTTATCCCGGATTCCAGTATCTTCGCAGATAACCTCGGCCTAGTCGAAATCATCTCGGCATCATGACTAGGACACGTGGCACCTCGGCTGGCACTTCGGTGACACCTCGGCCACGTGTTGTTATTCAAAAATTATGTCCCCACAACTGTCTCCTAAGTTCTATTACCTCGGCATCGTGAGGTGATGGAACCTATATCATTCATTCCTTTAATCATGACGCTGGTTTAACTTCAGCTTGTAAATTTTTTTTAAAATTTCAACAAGTATTAAACATGACCTCGGTTTAACTTCAACTTGTAAATTTTTCTTAAAATTTTAACAAGTGTTAAACATGACCTCAATTTAACTTCAACTTGTAAATTTTTCTTAAAAATTTCAACAAATGTTAAACATGACCTCAGTTTAACTTCAACTTGTAAATTTTTCTTAAATTTCAACAAGTGTTAAACATGTCTTCGGTTTAAAAATTCCAACTCCCAAGCATAATTCTCCAGCCCTCTACATGGCTTCCACTTACTCCTTTGTGGAGCTTATATAAAAAGCCTTTAACTTAGGCTGAGCTTTTCTCTTCTCGGACATAATCATCTAGGCCGAGATCTTGTCTTCTGGAATCTGGAATCTGCTCACTTTAGGCTGAGCTCTTCTCTTCTCAGACTTGATCATCTAGGCCGAGATCATGTCTTCTGGGATTCTCCATGCCCGACCTCGCACGAAGGCCGGTGAAAATGTCCCTTGGTCTCGCCATGCTAAGAGACTGCAGGAACTGTTTTCTGCCCTCCTTTCTGGGCACCTTTATTAGCCGCTGGAATCGGCGTATCTTGTGGCGGGAACGGTGGCTGCATGACGTTGTTCTACATCAGGAAATTGATGACCGTTTGCAGGTTCGCCAATTTGTTCGCCATTCCCTTCATCTCGTCGTCTCTCCATAGGCATCTATCTTTCTATACCTGGAGGTCGTCCTCGTTATAATACCCACTCCGGTTCGATTTCTTCGGTACGCTGCCTTCATGGCTGACGTTCTTTCCTCCGTGATTCTTATCACGAATCTCTTCGTTGCAGTTGTCTTATTCAACGTCAAGGTTAATATATTTCCCACTCTCAGTAGGGGTGTCGTCTCCAACCTTCTCTTTTTGTCCGTTGTTGGCCATCTATTCTCTTTTCGTTCCCACAGACGACGCCAAATTGTGTGTGTTAATTTTCGACCACACTGCCAATCAAGCA